TTGATTCTGTAGTTGAACATTGATGCTTTGAAAAATTAGTCGAAATATGACCATAGGACTGCTTGTCTAACAGGCTAGCTAGTTTTGGAGATTATCAGATTGAAATCAGCTGCCGCACTATTTTAATAAATAATAATATGGTGAGTGGCCTGGCTAGGCCTACTTGGTGAAAATTCATACTAGTGACTATCTGTGCGTTTCGTTCGGCTCTCCACAGACAACGTTCATTGGAATTTCTGGGTGCGCTCTGCACTGAAGCAACTGCTGGCACAAAATTTGTCTGGGCAGATTCGTGTAGCGTCGCTGTTTGCAGAGCTGATCCGGTCGGATTGCGGAACTAATCATAGGGGCACAGATAGGTGTATGAAAGAGGTCGTCGGACTTCTGTCCAGTACAGGACTTGTTAAAGTGCTGCGATGCCGAGGAGGGGCATCCACTGGAGGCTGACTCTCCGGCATGCCACATTAGGGCTATATTTTGAGGCGTTGGTTAGTGTTGCAAGATCTGATGGGTTGCCTAAGGTGGCCTAGTTTGGTTGTAGATTCGGTCTTGCAACTTGCAGTCTCGACCTTGTCCCGCTGACCGGTTTGGTCGCGGACCTAAATCCTTATGTCCGGGATGGGGGTTCGTTCGCGCCAAATACTGGTTGTCGGAATCGACGTCTAGGGGGTGCGCAGCTCTGGGCGATACAGGTTTGAAGTTCGGCCGAGCGTGGCAAGTGGCGCGCGGGTCGCGAGCGAAAAGGCAGAGTCGTCTGTCATCTGTGCTTGGAACAGCACGCTGTCATTTTTGTCGGGTACTCGGAATAATTAGGCGCGGCCAGTAAATATACGGTCTACCATTGTGACGCGCCTTCCTGCTGGAGAGCTTCCCAGGGACTCATTGTGTCTGACTCAGAATCGGCATAAGTGCATTCGGCAAGATTAGCTAGTGCGGCCTGATATTCTAGAACTAACTGTTGCTACGCGAAACGGTAGTGACCTTTGATCCGTAACCTCCGTGTGCGTTTTGTGCGTTAACCTTATACCCAGCGATAGTTAGTGGCTTCTGTAAGTTAGTTAATCGTAGGATAGAGTTAATTGACTGTCATCGTGACGAAAGAGGAAAGTGACTGTGGACAACCTCGGAAGGCCCCTCAAGTTGGAGCGGTGTCGACGCCCGGGCTGCTGCCGACGGCCAATGTTTAGGTTCAATCACCATCAGTCACACCCAGATACACATCACATCACTTTATTTTCCTTGCACTACACAACCACATGCGACCTAACCGACTCCGGAGGGACCAGTCGCCTTGGATATAGGTAAGTAAGCTACGTCCAAATTCCTCCCGGTTGACTGGCCGTAGTATAGAACGCTCCCCCATATATTTTAGTGTAATTAGAGAGATTCCACGTGGCCACATTGAGGCACGACCTACGTCTGCTCGGGAAGTCTTCAGCTCATGGGCCCCTGAGGATTTGACCCTTTAAGGGAGCAGCCGTAGGCGTGTACAGTCAATATTGGGGCCAGTCTCGTACATCATGTACAGTGCCGATATATATAACACTATTACAAATTGTCGTCATTATCTGTACCCTGATGACCTGCAGGTGTACCTCCCTTTTACACCAGCTAATTGTACAACAATGTGAACAACGACCTGGACAGCATCTCTGCCTGGTGCAGTATTATACGTGGTAGAGCAATGCTGCAGCTATATTAGTAGTATAGTTGTAGCAAGAATGGATCGGCTCGACCGGGGAAGGACCACGCTCTCACAGAATACCAGCGTAAAATAGCAGCTTAACACTGCTGTGTTTCGTATGGTGAGTGTAGAGAATCGGAGACCCTTTTTACTGGAAAAGGGGCATTCCATCTTAGTCCTCACGGGTGACAACGCATCTGCATTTTAATTCGCAAACGAAGATAAATTTAAATGTCTAAGGGCCACAGCAACCACTTACCACCAGGTGGACTGTGTGCTTGTTTGTCACCCTCTCCTATAAAAAAAAGTTCAAACTATTTAACCATTAATCCCAAGAAGTTCCAATTCATGATCATAGATTCGCCCAAGAATATTGCTAAACTTAAAGATATAACTTTAAATATTCATATAAATGGAGAACCTATTACAAGGGTTGATACAGCCAGAAACCAAAGACTTGTCATCGATTGCAACTTTAAATTCGAAAAATATATAGCGGAGTGTGTTAGAAATAGCTTTTACGGGCTGAAACTCCTTTACAAGTTGAGACCCTACCTGAGTGAGAGACTGAGAACTACCCTCTGCGAGCCCTTGGTCCTCAGCAGGTTTAACTTACTGTGACTCAGCATATGATCCATGCCACTTATCAAGAACGTCCAGACTTATTCAGAGAGTGCATATAGCGTGTGTGCGGCTCTGTTTTACAGTTCTACCTTGGTCATGTGTTACCCCATATCTCAATGACGCAAACATCTGAAGATGGCGGCACGCAGAAGATTGGATTTGATTAGTATGATGTTCGGAGTCATCACTACAAGAAAACCTAAATACCTCTTCCTAAAGCGGAAGTGGGCCCGTGATCACAGCAGATACCCCAGGAGAGAGTGAACCCACATTTTTGCCATTCCAAAACGTCGTACCATGGCGTTTCTGGGCTCCTTCAGATTCTCTGCGTCACAGTGTTGGAACGACCTGCCTCCGCCTTTGCATAATCTGCAAGTTAGAAAGACGTTTAAAACTCACTTAAAAAATACCTAATCTTACTGCAAATAGCGGGTGGTGCTGACACACTTACCATGGGGTGCTCACGTCGCACACGGGCGTCTGTGGGCCCGTCCCACCGTAAATAATTCCAGCATCCGGATGAATTCCAGTTGCTGCGCGTTTCCTCTCCTTGGTACCCGCGGCATGGTGCACCCTAAAACAATCCATTCAATGACGTTTTGGACAGAGACCGAAGGAAACAAAGTAATAGGTCAATGCTCACAAGGAAGTATTGCGCGACGTACATGTCGAGGTTGGCGCGATCGGCCCGGAGCGGGATCGCGCGCGTTTACCATTCCCTAATAATAAAATGGTAAATAATACAAGATTCTCACACTCACATTTAGATGAAAATGCACCTCTTCACACTTTTCACTATAAATAAAGTACGTTAAAGGCATGGCTTTAAACGAAGATGTCATAAATAACAAAGATTAGAAGAGATGTATGAACACATGGTATTTGTTGTGAGTAACGAGAAAAATTGAAAGAAATAAAGAAGGAGAACGCAGTATCTGTGCGCTTAACCTACAGTGTTGTGTATAAATTGTGCTGAATTAATTTATATATGTAAACTATAATATTAAGAAATGTATTGACTGTTGATAATAAGTGTCTGAAAAAGTGCACATAAAAAGTGATAAAAATGCAAGTGAGTAATAATGAATAATAATTATTGAAATAAATATTTCATTATTTAAATTTTGAGATTAATTAAATATTTAATATAAGTGTGATATTTTAATTTTGATCAAAGCTAAACATTATTATTTTTATTATTCTTATTCTATTCTTTTATTCTTTTTAAAAAACGTTACCCCCACACTAGGATTTTCTCCTGTATCGTGGAGGCAGTTTACAAACACAAATTTCACAAGGACAAACATCCAGACCCGGAACAATCATTTGTAGGCCATACAAATACTTGTTCCGTTCGGGATTCGAACCCGCGCCCCCCAGCGCAGCAACTCATTGCTAAGCCACTGCGCCACGGAGCCGTCAAATCCAAGCCGTCAAATTTTATCGCACGTATTCCCTTATATATTTCTTTCTTATATGAAACAACAAAATTTTATATAACTACAATAAATAAAATGTTTCTAGAACATGGACATTAGATAATACAGGTTTTCACATTTCTCTTATACAATTTTGCTCATATCTTCTAAACGGGTTATCCGACTTTCATAATTCTAATTGGAATATTAATTCTAGACTTAAGCCTATCTAAAACATATCTAAAAATATAAAATATATAAAAAATTATTGAAGTACCTCTACAAAATAAAATTCTCATTTTGAACGTACGTAATTATATAAAAATTCTAATAACATTCAAAACTCTCTTCAAAATTACTTTAGTCAGTCTAATTAGATTACAATAGAAAATCCAATAGCAAATTTAAGTTAAAAAGTCTAATTAAGGTAAAATATAGTCTCCAACAAATTTCTTTACATCCTAATTAATAACTTATAAAAATTTCTAACTCGATATCTTGCCATTAATACCCCTCGAGTATTGATCCTACTACTACATGCACCCTGGAGCGTAGATAGGATTTCGCTGTCGATACTACTTTGACTTTACGAAATAACACTTATTTATTTATTTATTTATTTTATTTAATAAGGCTTACCAACTAAATACATATAGAAACAATTATTATGAGGTGCACTTAAAAAAAATTGTATATATGCATTTAAATTAAAGGTAAACACAACATATAATAAAAGACTTCCTTTAAGGAGAACAGTAACCTATAAAACTATCACTACAATAAAATAACAAAATTAGAACAAACAAAAAAAAAACCTAATTTATATAATGTATAAATGGAAAAAAGAGAGGAAGTAAAAAAACTTTTAAAATGAAAAAATTATTTGGCTGTGTAATGTGTTAGTACCTTCCTCTTTAAAACATTTAAGCTATCAAAATGGATATCCACATCACAATTTTGAAATGTTGAATTGAATGCATTCAACAAAGATGATAAAGGTGTGTTTCTGCCATATTCATTACGACTTTTTTTAATATGAAACGGTTTGTAGTTATGTAGACGTGCACTAATTCTTGGAACAGTGATACCGATATCAAGTAAGAGAGACCGACAGTCAATTTTAAAACTTAAGAGCTTGTGCAGGAAAGTTATACTTAATACATCCTTACGCCTTTCTAAAGGTATCATATGGTAATGCTCAAGTCTTTTCTTATAGCTATTAAAAGTGTGATAAGTCCCTTCTATGTAACTGAGTCTAGCTAACATTCTTTTTTGTACCTTTTCTATACGTTGTATATTGTTTTGATAACTAGGATACCAAACAAAGGAACAGTAGTCTATATTGCTACAGATCAACGCGAAATAGAGGGCCTTTAAAGCTGGTATGGACTTAAATTCTGTAGTGTTACGTGAGATGAATGCTATTAATCTATTACACTTATTTATTGTGATATCAATATGACGTGTGAATCTCATTTCGGAATCAATGTTTAGGCCTAAATCTTTAACATATTTTACTTGATTAAGACGAGTATCTGCAATATAATAATTAGTCTCGAATTTTTTATATTTCCTTGAAAATTTTATGTGGTGACATTTTTTTACATTGAGTTCCATCTTATTACATTCACACCATTTACAAAGATCGTTAATATCCCTCTGTAATAGTAACTGGTCCTCTGTGCAATTAACGGTTCTAAAAAATTTCAGATCATCGGCGTATAAAACAAACTGACTGTTATTTAATACATGTTTTATGTCATCTATAAACAAACAAAATAAAATTGGACCCAGGACTGAACCCTGAGGAACTCCAGAAGTAGCTTGAAATATGTGAGATACAAAACCGTTTACAACAACCCTCATTACTCTATTTTCTAAATAGGACTCAAACCATCTCAAAAGACATCCATCAATAAAAAAAAAGTTTTTAAGTTTAGCCAGTAATATTTTATGGTCCACTTTGTCAAAGGCCTTGCTAAAGTCGGTGTAAACGGCATCAACCTCATTGCCATTACTTAGTTCGGTTAAAACCTTTTCAACAAAGAACATTAAATTGGTTGTTGTGGATCGCTTCGCAAAGAAACCATGTTGATAGTCACTCAGAAGTTGTTTTACGTGCCACTTTAAATGGTTACTAACAAGGGATTCAAATATTTTTGACAAAGTGGAAAGTATGCTGATAGGTCGATAATTACAGATAACATTGATACTTCCGGATTTATGGATTGGTAAAACGATAGCCTCTTTCCATACGTTTGGAAAAATGCCTTCCGAGATAGATCGGTTATAAATTAAATGTAGTGGTGTCGATAATATTTTAGCACATTTTTTTATGACTATTGGAGGTAATCCATCAAAACCGGCTCCTTTATTGGTATTAAGCCCAGCAAGTTTAACTTCAATATCCTTTTTAGGTATTTGTATATAATTCAGATTAAGAGAATTTGTCACACTGTCGTTAACTCTCGAGTAAGCCTTATCTTGGACTTTGGAGGGTTTGTTATAAACAGATTCAAAGTGCTCAGCAAATAAGTTAGCAATACCACTACCGTCATTAGCACCTTTGTTCCCCAGTTCCATTTCCTTAGGGATTGAGTCATTATTATTACGTTTATTCTTTATGTAAGACCAAAAATGTTTCGGATTATTTAAAATATTTCTTTGCACATTATTTATGTATTTGCTGTAACTTTTATTAATTAGCGTGTTTGCTCTTTTTTTTAACAACTCATATTCATATACGTCACGATTGTTTTGATATTTTTTCATTTTTTTGCGGCTAATTTCCTTTTCCTTTAAAAGTTTTATAAGTCTCTGTGAGTACCATACAGGATATTTATTTTTAACAGATGGTTTTAGGGGTACATATTTCTCGATATTTTTTCGAATTATGGTATAGAATTTTTCTAAGCATTCATTAATTGAGTGGCAGCTATTTAACTCACTATCCCATTTTACTTCATATAGAGACCTATTTATACCTTCATAATCTGCTTTATAAAACTTATACACATTGAAATTATTGTATCGAAGTTTATCTATTTTTTTATAATATATGTCAATTTCTAACGGCGGGTGAAAGTTATCAATCTTCGATAAAGTATCTACAGCTTTACTGACCGAGATAGGATATTGAACGTTAGATAAAACCAAATCAAGTATTTTAGAGTCATTATTTTGTACCCGATTATACTGTTTAAAACCGTTACATGAAGTAAAATCTATAAATATCTGATTTATTTTTGTGTTAGATTTAATTATTGGATTGCTATGATCTGAGGTCCAATCAATATGACCCAAATTAAAATCACCCACTAGAAGGATATGATCAAGTTTTTGTACAAATATACTTTTAGTGCTGATGAAGTGGTTTAGATCATCACTTGAGACTGGTGGGGGTAAATAAACAGCACAGATATGAAGAGAGTAATTTGGCGTTATGTCTAAAGTAACCCATAAATCTTCACAAGAACTTTCTAAGAATGTATTCCTTCTAGCCTTTATATTTCTCTTTACTGCTATTAAAACGCCACCACCTTCCTTTCCAGTATAGAAGGTATTGGCCTGTCGATCTCTCCTGAATACCTGATACCTACTGTCAAATAGTTCCGTGCTAGCCACAGAATCGTTGAGCCATGTTTCAGTGAAAATTATTATATGAAAATTTCTTGACAGTACATTTTTATATATACTTTGCAGCTTAGTCCTAACACCTCTAACATTCTGATAGTAAATGTTTAAATCAGAGTGTGTGAATGATTTAAATTTAAATTTAATACAGCATTAGATAATAAATTTAGAAAAATAAATAAAAATTAACTGAGATTTTCCAGTGCTTCCAATCTTGTTATTACCCGTGCTGGTGATGTCTCATTTTTGCGCACAAAAATTTTCCCATTACGCACCCAAACAAATTTGTATTCTTTCTCTTTTGCTCTCAATCTGGTAGCTGCGTGTAACGCCTTGTTGGATGGAGTCAGATGTTCGTTAATGAATACTGGTGATTCAATGTCTCCATAACCCAGGATTTTCGTGTTTAATTTATTTTTTGGGTTCATTTTATTGTATGTAAGTACAGCGCCTAAGAAGTTGTCTCGCTTTATTTTACTTGTTAATTTACATACAACAGTCCTTGGCAGCTTGGATGAGGCATTAAGCTTTTGCACTCGGTTGCAGGATAAAATATCAGTTTCCAAAATGGGAAATGAAATAACTTTTCCGATATTAACAATTGTGTTAACCAGGTTTTCTTGTCTGTGCTCAGGTAAGCAGTGGATTTCGACATTTGACTGACGGGCAGACTGTTCCATTTGTGATATCCTTTCCTCTAAATCCCTGACCTTGCCAGTTAACATTACATTAGTTGTAGAAAAGATCTTGGTATCATCAGATAGGACTTTAACTTTGGTACTTATAGCGTCATATTGTGAATTAATAAATTTAATCGTTTCTTCAAATGCATGAATTTCTTTTTTGATATTAGCGAACTCCTCATTTAATGTATCTCGAATCACTGAACGCAATTCCCTACGAATAATTTCTGCTAGTTCAGCACGAGATACACAGTCTTGGTGTTCAGTAGTGGGTTCGCTCTCTTTTTGACGCCTTATAGTAATATTTTGAGAGTCGTCTAAAAATTCGCTGCTGGTCGCCAATTTAATAGGAGTATCATCACTATTTCCTTCCTTACGTATTATTGACAAGTATTTAATGGAGCAGTCAGGACATTTCCAATTTTTTTGCTTTTTGAAGTTATCAACATTCAAATTAACACACAGGTAATGATATCTTTTGCCGCACGAAGATTGAGTGCAAGTAATTCTTTCTGAAGGTTTGATTGCTTTTTTACAACCGCTGCAAGGTGAGTTCATATTTGAAATAATAAACTTGTCAGAAATTATTCACAAAAAGTGTTGGGTGTTTGTCTGGATTCGATCTTCCGATTCTTGAATGCGCTTCACGTTTAAACAGAAAGTGGTCGCTTATACCACTGCGCTACTAAGCCGCTAGCAGGAAGCATGAATTTTTGGAAGTGTTTCGAGTATTCTTAGTTATAACTATCGTACTTTGACCTTTCCTTTGTTTGTCAAGAATAGCTCTAACACCGCACACTACGTAAACACAATGTTTGCAATAAATATTGCCAAAATACACCAATTATTCAACGATAAAAGATAACACTAATACAATTGTTTGGTCCAGTAGGTTCTGACCGATATTTACGTCTAAATTTCACTTCACAAACTTTATTTTTTGCACTGTTATTGAATTTATACGAGGAGCATGAGTAAACGTGTCCGTTTGGTACTGTTCTCGCGGGTATATGATGATAAAATGCCAGATGTTACACATCATATGCGACTATTGTATGGCTCGTTCGTTTTTTTTTCTATAGAATAAGAGTGACTAACGAGCACACGCCTGATGGTAAGTGGGTACTGTAGCCCATAGACATCTACATCTATCCTCCATGAATAAAAATGCAGATGCGTTTCCACTCTTGAGCACTAAGATCGAAAGCCTCGTTTCCAGTAAAAAGGGTCACCGGTTCTCTAGACTCACCATACAAAACAAAGCTGCATTGAGCTGCTATTTTATGCTGATATTCTGTGAGAGCGTGATAAAAGATAGTCAAATAAACGAGGAACCTAAGTTCTTAATTAAAAATAATAACAAAGTAAACAAATGTGATTTTTATCAATATTTTCCCTTAGTAGGATCCAATTCCCCCGCTCTCCAGGTGTGCTGTGTGCGCCAACAGACATGATCGTACAAACCGGCAGAAAGGAAATTATTAATTTCAATTTTGTGTGCTGAGCAGAACATAATTTTTTTGTCATCTGCAACTGAATACTGAACACGAAAACTGCGTCGTACGAATATGCAGAAAAATTCTGCATTTGCCGAAAAAGCATTCCTGCTATTACACACGTGCATAACGCCTTGAAATTATGCCTTGGTATGCCTTGAAATTTTTCGTTCATGCTCCATCATTTTTCTATAGCCTTAAGATTATTTTACTTTAACTCATTATACTCGGACTCTAACTATACAGATAGCATTTAGGTATATTAAATCTAGATATCCATTTCCAATGCAGCCTAGGCAGCCTAAGGAAGTCCATTGTTGAACATAGGTTTCCCCCAAAGATTCTCACTTCGGAAAGATTTTGCCGATGCCATAGTTGTACAACTCTTACTACAACCATGGGATAGTAGATAATCTTACACCGCCACTACATTATTAAAATAAATTTAGACATTAAACTCTTAATAATTGGAAACTTTTGCTATACTTGCAGGTAATCAATGATCGCAGAGTCATTCGAAATCCTAATCTAAATGCCTTTAATTTCTTTATCAAGTGTAAATTAACATTAAACTCGGAAAACTTTAATGGTTGATCCGCTATTCGTTGAACTAATATACTATAATATGAAGCTTAAAAATCTACAATAATCTTCTAAAAAATCCTAAACTAAATTGTTTATTATTCACAAAGGAATGCTATCTCGACGCCCGTGTTTATAATTTGTGAGAGCTACGTCAAGTAAATTTTAACCCAGGTGATACATACGTGATAACGTCGCACACAATCACATTTTGTACACGTGGTTAGGCAAAATCCTGTTGTCTCTTGAGACTAAATTGGTAAATAATAGTAATAATGTTACATTAAGAATCACCTTATGGTGGCAGCGTAATTCATGTTCATACTTGTTTGATAAAAGATTATATTTAAACTGAAACCAATTTTACACTTTCCAGAAGACTAATAAAACTAAGTTTTCAATGCATCTGATTCTGACGGAAAGATTTTTCTCTAGGATTTTTACGACGAGCATAAATTCCTTTCAATTACGGTGAGAGCCGGTGACAGGAAATAGATATCGGTCGATAAATGTGAACTCAAACGCGAGCGAGGTTCGACACGATTTTAAGTCTGGTGTGAGGCACATCTAAGTCATTCGTTAAAACTTGTCGGAGCCTCAAACCAAAAACGAAAGATTTTTTGTTTGACATTTCAAGTGATGCTAGAACCATGGTCAACTTTTTCACACGCACTCACGCAAGCATCTCTCTTCTTTCTTTTTTTATCAGCTTTTTAAAATTCACTGCTGGACGCATACATATACAAGTATGTATCTAAAACCATTTTGTTGGTAATTTTAGACGGATATGTGTATATGTATATATGTGTATATATATGTACATATACACATATGCGTCGTACGCGTAGTTATCATCATCATTGTAGGAAAATAGGCCTGGCCTCTATCACTCCTGCTACCTGCGTAAAATAATTACCTATTTTAATAATTATTAATAATAATTATTATTTATTAAAATTATAATTATTATTTATTAAAATAATAATTATTATTTTAAGTGCCTAATTACAATCGTGAGGTGCCTCCGGGGTAGAACGCAGTCGGGGCTAACGCGTTCTAGGCGATTGAATGTTGAAGTTTTTTAACGCAGTTTTTTTGTAAGTACTTGTTGAAGGATATTATGTAATTGTGTTTACTATATACAATAATAAATCAATCAATCAATCAATCATTTATTAATTCATAAGCATGGGTATTACGGGATGTGACATACAAAATTATTATTAGATACAGCCATGTTTCACTTTAGAGGTATATGAACATAATTGGAGTAAGTTTTACATTTTGTCATCAAAAAATATTCTTATGTCATAGTACACATTTTCGACAAGGAAGTCATTGAGCGCAGTTTTAAATCTTTTGATATCATTAATTAATCGGATATTTAATGGGATTTTATTATAGATTTTTGGTACCATGCAATTTACACACATTCTTCGAAGAAGGGTTTTGCATTTGTGGTTAACTTTCAATGTGCCTTCACGACGACTTCTAGCAGTATTCATTTATTCAAGCAGTATATATTTCATAATAAATTGGGTTATTTCGAACAAAGTTTACAACCTCATATATATACATATACAGTAGAGTCAGAATTTTATATTTTCGAAAGTACGGTTCACATGAATCATCCCGATTTAGACCGAAGATCGATCTAAGATACTTTTCTTGTGCTTTGAGGACACTTTGTTTTTCAGTTGTGTTGGCCCAAAATATTATTCCATACCTTAAGTTTGATGCAACATATTCGTAATAGGCTGTTAGGCGAGTTTTAACACTGGCAACTTTTCTTAGTTTGTAAATGGCATAAGAGAATTGGTTTAGTTTTTTAATTACATTATCAATATGAGGTTTCCATGTCAGCTTATTATCTATAGTCAATCCAAAAATTTTGTAGTGTCTACCTCTTTAATTGAATTCCCAGAGTAGTTAATGCAAAATTTAAAGGATAATTTTTTCTTTGTTTAAAGTTTATTATATGTGTTTTTGTCAAATTAATTGTCAGGTTATTTAATGACAGGCATTTGAATAAAGATGTCAATGTATTATTAATGTCAATATTTATATTATTCTCATTATCATAAGTAAATAAAACAGTACTATCGTCAGCAAAAATAGTCATTTGATGGTTGATTACATTAGGAAAGTCATTTATATAGATAATAAAAAGGAGAGGGCCCTGTACACTTCCCTAAGGTACTCCATAGTTTACTTGACTCTCTTTCGATCTATATATTTTGTTTTCACCGGTCTTAGAGTCAATTTTGGTTATATGTGTAATTTGTCTTCTATTACTTAAGTAACATCCGATTAGCTTTAGAGCGTTGCCTCTTATACCATAACTTTCTAGCTTATTAAGTAATGTTTTATGATTAATATTCTTGCGCGCCACTATTAATATCTTGTACATGGCAACACTAGTTACACTAGCGCCCTCTAATGTCGAGTAGCAGAACTAGGAGAGTCAAGATCCTTCCAGAAATTTCGGGACCGGTATGTACTCGAACATTCTAGATGTCGCTACAATAGAAGGTTCTGCAAACTATCTGAGACCCTATATAAGGCCGGTACAGACCACGACCAAGGCAGTATTGAATTAGCGATACAAGAGAATACTTCGAAGCGAAACAACTGCGAACTTAAGTGATCAGTAGTACAATTGTGTTTTATTATTAGTGTGGTTATAGATTGTAATTAGTGTTGTGTAATTAAAGTGTCAATTTTGGTAATTCAATCGGCAGTTTTTTCAATTGTCTCGAACCCCAAGCTTGTAACAATATTGTCAAATGCTTTGGTCATATCCATAAATAGTGCTAGTGTAGGCTTTTGGTTGTTAACGTTTTTACGACCTTTTCCAAAAACTCGTATATAGCCATACTAATGGATTTATTTATCTTTTTGAAAGCCGTATTGATGCTTCTAAAATAGATTATTGGTTTCAAAGTAATCGTTTATTTTTTTATATATGATATGTTCTATTAACTTTGAAAATATTGAAATAAGTGAAATAGGACGATAGTTTTTTAATAGCTTCTTGTCATCTTTTTGAATATTGGGATAGTAATTACCAATTTCAATATATCTGGAAATGTTCTCTGTTCTAAACATAAATTTATAATGTAGCACAAGATGTGAGCATATATTATATTCCCTACTATTTGAATAATCTTAGTGGAAACATTATCAAAACCTACACTATTAGTATTTTTTAATAAATGAACAGATTTAACAGCATCTAAGGGTATGATTGGGGTCAAAAAATTGAGTTACATTGAATATGTGGAATAGAAGTATGTTCGGGCTTGTCCTTATCGACTGTTTCCGATGAGTTTTTAAAAAAGTCGTTAAAAGCGTTCGCAATTTCTGTCGGTTCAGTTACCTCTTTATCGTTACTTAATATACTCTTAATCTGTTCCGTAGGAAGGCTGCTATTATACTTATTAATTATCTTCCACGTTGCTTGGGATTTATGTTTTGACTAAGCTATTTAATAGTCATTCTGTGCCTTTTGAGTAAGATTAATTATTCTCTTGTACCGTCTACTATAGTTATTTGCTATTTGTTTTATATGGAACCCCAATAAATACTTACCATCAGTGGGATTTACCGCTCGTTTCTTACTATAATTGTTAAAAAGGAGAAAGTTTACAAATTTAAAAAAAGGGTTCAACATTTTGTAGCTATTATCAAATATTTGATTGTTGATTTTACTCCATTAGTCGGACGCGGGAGCCTCGTTCGTCAATCAGTACGATGGACTGCTCCTTCAGGTGAGGTTAGCATTTGAATTAAGTACAGAGTACCCTTTTCATTTTACCTTTTGAAAAATCAGTATTATTTATATATAAGGTAATAAATCAAACCTGGATTAAAACCACTAGGACTATAATTTTATTAAAATACTTTAATAGTTTCCTTTATCGTAATCGTATAT